AAATCATGCTAACATAGCAACATGCTAACATGGCAAAATCATGCTAACATAGCAACATGCTAAGATAGCACCATGCTAACTAAAGACATTTTCCCAGGGCAGCAATTGTTTTTTTATTTGAAGCGTATCCTGGTGGGACACGAAATGGCTTCAGCTTCAGAAAATAAATTGTTTTGGGAGGATTGTTTTATATTGTTGTTGTTTTTTTTGTTTGTTTGTTTTTACTTTTTTTGGATTGACCATAACCTGGATAACTGATGTCAACAGTATGTTAGCTTAGCCGCATGCTAACTTAGCAATACGCTAACAAAGCAATCAAGCTAATAAACGTTCTTACCGTTAGCCGTTTGACCCTCGCGCTCGTTTTCCCGCTTCTCATGTCTTCAAATAAACTGCGTAAAACATAACGTTAAATTTTGGTCAAACCTATAAACATGTTTTGGTTCATAAATCTATATTTAATGTCAAAAGAAAAACGTACAGACGCCTTTGCTTCAGCAAACACCCACATCTAATCATACACCTGTTGAAGTAAACGCTGCTTTAAAAAGTGCACTGATTTTTAAAATTGGTAGCTTAACGGGGGCGGCTACAATCATCCATTCACCCATTTACTATACCCGCCTTAGCATCGTTTAAAATCGGAGCGAGCTGGTGTATATTTTCAAAATAAAAGCGATACTCCGCAGCATTACACGTATTTATTTATTTATTTATCTCTATTTTACCGTTTTCATTTCAGATAATAAATTGTAGAGAAATCACTTGAGTTACAGCCGTTTTGTTGGTTGTGGATGACTCTCAGCTACTCCCACACCAACTTTTATCATCTGTAAAACTTATTGAGTTACAGCCATTTTTGTGTTGGCTAAAGTTAGTTAGCTGCGGCGGCCATTTTGAATTGAATTTCCTCCAGAACATAATCTGCTGCAAATGTTAATCCAATGATTATAATCTGAGAGTTCTATTAAAATCCATCCAGTGGTTCATGAGATATTTTGCTAACAGACAAATAGGCAAATTAAACTATATTGGAGGCTCGCAGTAAAAAAACTTTTGAAAATAAGACTATTCTGAAACACAAAATACTTAAATATGTTAATTTATCAAAAACAAAAGAGTGACAGCTAAGTAAAAAAAAAAATTATTGATAGTCAACCTTTAAAATCGACTTAATTTGAGGTCTGTGACGTGACATTCCATAATTTAAATAACTGTTTTATGAACTAAATAATTCTTATAGTTTCATGTGAGCGTTGTGACCATTAACAGATTAATCAGATTTTATTGCACAAAAAGAAATTAATCATAAAATTAAACTCTGTTCTGAAGGTTTCGTCCCCACTCGTCGTAATTTCCCTCCATCCTCTCCTGGCAGGTGTTAACATCTGGACTCCAGGCCCTGAACAGACTCATCGTGTTCAGATTACAGATGTTTTCTCGTCGAGTCGATGTGGGTTTCTGCAGAGGAAGGAGTTTTAATCCCTGGCAGATTCAGTTCGAGGCCTTCCTGACCCGTCTCCTCTCTAATCTACCTGCCCGTCCAGACCGGAGGAGAAAAAACGGTTGTCATGGCAACGACTCTGCAGAGGAAGAGCTCGCGAACATTTAACCGAACGCGCACGAGCAGAAAAAATGGGAGCAGGTCAGAAGAAGACCAGGGATCATCTCAAGCAGTCTGGGCTCAGAGGACTCGCCTGATTGAGACTAAATTAATTTATAGTTTTTAATCTGGTCAAATCATACTCTTAATTCAACAAGCTGCTCCTAATAATCTGATTAATCTCTAGAATCCATGTTTAAATTGTGAGACTTTTGGTAAAATAATGCTTTTATTTTTGTATACATTCCTTGAAACGATCAGAAACAGTGAATATCTTACCTGTCGTAGATAGCTATTTGGAGAAATAGTTTAATTCTGACCAGATGTCAAATCTCGAGATATTTTACTGACAAAGAAACAGCCAAAAACATTATCACCCATTTTATGTGTTTCAGTGGTGGAAATAAAAGTCCATCCATTCATTTTGGAGCTGGTTCCTGACAGGGACAGAAAGTTTCAACATTTATTTACATTATTGGAGAAAACTCATTTAATAAAATATAAATAATTGTGAATTTGACGTCTGCAACATTTATCAAAATGGTTCCACAGCAGTTAAACAGCTGGAGGAGCGTTTTATAATAATCATCTGTTAACAGGTCGGAGTCTGAAGTAAAGATGGGCAGAGGTTCACCACCCTAAAAACAGAGGACCAGATTCAGAATAACTTGATGATTAGGAATAAGATGATGCTCATAATCTGATCCACAGATTAGAAGAATCTGTTGAAATCTGAGCTCAAAGGACGAGAACCTCAGGGGTCACTGCATGAAAACAGGTCTGGTTCTGGACTCAGGAACTCTTCCACAGGTCTGTAAATACAGTTCATCCACAGATGCTGCTTAAAGCTCTATCAGGCAAAGAAGAAGCCAGATGTGAAGACCATCCAGAACTGTTGCCGTCTCCTCTGGACCAGAACTCACTTCAGACCGAGGTGAAGTCCAGAACTGTCCAGAGATCAGACGGATTCAAATCCGAGGTTCTGTTTGGAAACCAAGAAAGACATCCAGCCTGTTATCAGCTGCCTCTCTGATGGTATGGGGGTGCATTAGGGCCACGGACATGGACAGGTTACACATCTGGAAAGACTCCAATGCAGAATAGTATCTACAGGTTTTAGAACATCTGCTCCATCCAGCAGAGAAGATCCAGGACTGCTGAACAGCTGGAAACCTCCATGAGACCAGAATGGGACAAAACCTCCAACATCTGGTCTCCTCAGGTCCTGGACCTTCTCAGACTGTTAGAAGTCGAGGTTCTTCAGAGGCGTTTGTTTTACCACCAAAAAATAAAATAAAAACTTTGTTCAATATTCCTGTAGTTTCAACATTTGATGTTTTTATTTTGAGATTTGTAAATCGTTAAAATCTGTTTTTATTTACATTTCAAACGACGCGGCAGCTTATTTGAGAACTGTGGCTGTGAAATCAAATCCAAAGAGTTTAAAGAAGTTCCAAGTTGAAATCTTCAGCTGTTCCTTAGAACTCTGAACATTAAAACTAAACTTTCAAACAAACACTGAACTTTCAGAGGCTTCGTGAGAATAAATGTTTTTATTTCGAACAACAACTCTGCAGGAGCTGAAGGAACGTTTCAAGTTTCAGACAAATTCAATAAAGTTTCCTCGCCGACGTTCTTCCTGAGATGTTTGGAGAAAAGTTCAACTTCAGCACGAACAAATCTCCTTTTATTCGTTCATTCATTCCTTCGTTCCTTCGTTCGTTCATTCATTCATTCCTTCGTTCGTTCATTTATTCATTCGTTCCTTCCTTCCTTCGTTCATTCATTTGTTCGTTCGTTCGTTCATTCCTTCGTTCATTCATTCCTTCGTTCGTTCATTTATTCATTCGTTCGTTCATTCATTCCTTCCTTCGTTCATTCGTTCATTCATTCATTCATTCCTTCGTTCGTTCATTCGTTCATTCATTCGTTCATTCATTCCTTCGTTCGTTCATTCGTTCATTCATTCGTTCCTTCGTTCATTCATTCGTTCCTTCATTCATTCATTCGTTCCTTCGTTCGTTCATTCGTTCCTTCGTTCGTTCCTTCGTTCGTTCCTTCGTTCGTTCGTTCATTCGTTCCTTCGTTCATTCATTCATTCATTCATTCGTTCATCCATCCTTTATTTATCCAGGTTAGTCTCACTGAGTCACGAGGACTCTTTTACAACAGAAACCTGTTTTAGACAAACAACAATAAACTTCAGTAAAATGTAAATAAAATAGTGTATAAAACACTAATTTGCAGCTTTGATGTGTTTGAATAAAACAAAGAGTTCCCAAATTAAATAAAAACAGGAGCCAGGCTCAGCGTCCTGCGCTGGACACCTGTCTTCACCGCTCCCAGATGTTTTGAGCAGATGTTCGGTCCTCAATCGTCCCCGTCGGAGCTGAACGTCCGTCTAATGAAGACGGCTGCTCGTTCAATAAATTAAAGGTCCTGACTGAAGGCGGAGCTCCGCCTCCTCCCTTGGCTGCGGCGCGGTGCAGGTGAGGACGGCGGCGCTCACAGAGACACGCAGACACACGGGCGCTTCAGGCACACAGGAAGGATGCCCTTGTTGATCTGGTGGAAGTCCACGAGCTGCAGCAGGTCCAGGAACAGAGTCGCCCCGTCGTCCAGGGTGAAGTACTTCCTGCCTCCTTTCTCGCACTGCAGAGAGGAGGGAGGAGGAGGCGTCAGCAGGAGGCGTTTACCTGGAGGGGGAGGGGGAGGAGGTGGGGGGACTCACCGGGATGACGAGGTAATGTTTGCTCCTCAGCTGGAAACACAGAGTCAGGACGAAGCACTGCTCGTGCTGCTGGCTGTCACGGACCAGGAACATCCTGCTCACACACACACAGGTTACATCGTCACCCGCCGCCTGCTGGCTCAGACTCTTATATCGTCACCCGCCGCCTGTTGGCCTGGAGTCTTACATCGTCACCCGCCGCCTGCTGGCCCTGACTGTTACATCGTCACCTGACGCCTGCTGGCTCAGACTCTTATATCGTCACCCGCTGCCTGAATTCTTACATCGTCACCCGCCGCCTGCTGGCCTTGACTCTTACATAGTCATGCGCCGCCTGTTGGCCTGGATTCTTACACCGTCACCCGCCGCCTGAATTCTTACATCATCACCCGCCGCCTGAATTCTTACATCGTCACCCGCCGCCTGCTGGCCCTGACTTACATAGTCATGCACCGCCTGTTGGCCTGGACTCTTACATTGTCACCCGCCGCCTGCTGGCCCCTACTCTTACATTGTCACCCGCCACCTGAATTCTTACATTGTTGCCCACCGTCTGCTGGCCCCGACTCTTACATCATCACCCGCCGCCTGAATTTTTACATCATCACCCGCCGCCTGAATTTTTACATCATCACC